GACTCATACTGCGTTTCCTTCCCTTAGTCCGTCCGCTCATCTATTTTTTCTCAGGGTATAGAGAGGACCCCTAACACCCCTCACAGCCAACGAACAGATACAGTGTACTGCGCGACTATGTGAATCACGAACAGTGCGCCCACCACCACCAGCACCGACGTCCAGGACCCGCAGTGAGCGATCTGATCCCGCAATGACCGCAATGGACGATGAGAAAGCTCCATTCACACACGCGAGGCTTGTGATACTCTGCATGTCGTCAAAACTCCAATGTGCGACACATTTCTTTCGACTTTTATTTTCGAGAATTAAACATCACTAGCCTTTTCACGTGACCTTGCTTTTCTACTCGGAGCACGAGCGCACGCTTCGTCCAGCTCATATTGATGCAGTTGGGTAGTGTTGCCACATGTTGACAAAAGAAATTTGTTCATGTAGAAGAAACTAGCGTCTACGATATCCTGTCTTAATGCTTTCTTTGCGCTGGACCAATTTCGCATTGCACTTGCAGCCACAGCAACGCCTGTAGACGGCGCTATACCTCGCAATGTTAATAAAGATGTCTCTCCGGTGATGGCACGAACGGCTTGATTGTGTCCGACATAGACTTTGCCATATCCCTTGAATCGACTGATTGGCAGCTTGCACACCTGTGCTATTCGATCATTACCGCTTGTTGCAAGCCATTTTGCATCACTCGAATATTCAATGTCCTTGATGCAATGCCTTTGGTGATAGCGCATGCTGTCATTGAAAATGCTGCAGTAGCTCACACTTTATCGGGTACTCTTTTAAATAAGAACTTACGGATTTAGAGCCTTTGCGTTGGTTGTCAAATGTACTTCAATGTATCGTTTGCCTAGAATTTAACAAACATAGTCGCGCTGTACACTGTATCTGTTCGTTGGCTGTGAGGGGTCTTAGGGGAAGGAAACGCAGTATGAGTATGATTTTATAAAAGTAGGAAGTAATACCATTTCAGTAATAGTCTTAGTGAAAATAAAT